CTCTCGGAGCAGTAGCCAGTCCGAAGGACAACACTGTGAACTCAAATAGTTGGAATGGGACAGCAAAACAAAGGAAATGCCTATGACAAGGGTGAATGAAAATGTGGAAATAAGCGTCCTTCAAGTCCAATGAGGCGAACCAGTCCTCTTTCCTCAGCAACGGTAGGATATTTTGAAGGGTGGTCATCCTGAATTTTTTCATTGTGATAAACCAATTAATATTTCGTAAGTCCAAGATTGGACGAAGACCACCATCCCGCTTCGGGACCGTAAAATATCTCGAATAGAATCCGTGAAGTCCATCCGTCTGAGTTACTCCTTTACGAAGAAGCTGTCGAACTTCATCAAGCAATACCGGCGAACATGAGGTGAACTGGATCGGGCTCGATGGAAGAACGATGTCGAATTCTATCTGATAGCCGTGCTGAATGATGGACAATACCCACCGATCAGGTGTGATGGACTCCCAAATGAGGAGTCGGCTTCTCAGTCGGTCCCCAGATGAGAGGGGGGTGGGTAGAGTAGGAAGGAGAGGAATGGTTCGCCCGTCCCGTCAACGTTGCCTCCTATCGCCCTCGAAGCGACGACGGCCTTGTTGATATCGTTGCAGGGGCTGTTGATGGCGGCGTTGTTGCTGCTGCTGCCGGTGTTGAGGCTGCTGTCTGGTTTGGTATGGCTGCCTGTAGGAGGGTCGGGTCCAAGACCACTTATGTCTGGTCTGTGGTTGGAGCTCCATCCGCCGGGCCATCATACAGGACTCGTGAATCTTTTTGAGTTTGTGGTCAGTTCTAGAATGGAAGAGCCAGAACCCCTCAAAGGGCATCTCCTCTATCCGCCTCTTCGTCTGCTCCAGAAAATTGCAGTTGCCCAGCCACGCATGCCTCTGGAGGGAGACGGCACCGACCAAGGCCCTCAAGTCCGTGTCCACATGGTGTCGAGCAGTGGACAGCTGCTGGACCGTGACTTGCATGGCTTCCTTTATAAAAACTTTTGCTAGATCGTCCTGGTTATCTGGAAGGGCCAAGACGACATTGTTGAGGCACTGCATGATGAAATACTGGTACCTCGCCAGTGTCGCCTCATAATTAGATAGTCTAAGCCCAAGACCGGAGGCAGCATATACTCGTCGGGCCAGGGAATCGATCTTTCTTCCCTCTTTGTCTCAGGGCGTGGTATGACCTCTTGCCTCTCTGCCCTGGGAGGACTCCACCACGACCGAGTTTGATTTAGGATGGCGGAGAAGGAAGGGGATGTCCTCCTCCCGAACTCAGTACATGGATTCGTACCTCCGTGAAGTTGGCTGGGGATGGGCGGGTGGGTTCCACGGCTGGGTCATAGCGTGCCGCAAGGTGGTGATGAGCAGCAGCACGATGGACGTCAACTGCTCCCCACGGACGACGTCATAAAATTTGTCCGTACTGGGGCCAGGCTGTTGTATAGCGTTGATCTCAAGGGACTGGACGAGACGCGACATCAACTCCGCAAAAGAGATGTAAGATTCGTCAGGCAACCCAGGTGCCTGGGAAATCACTGCGATGTCTGGGGAGGGGGAGTCGATGTCGGAGTCGTCTGAGTAAATCCCATAATATGGAGGAGCCAAGGAGGAAGACTCTGCCGGTGATAAGGACCGAATGCTCTCCCTAGTCGGTATTGGCGAGGCACGCCTCGGGACTGAAGATGTCGGGCGGTCGCGAGGTGCCGGTGGAGAGGAACGTCCCCTTGGGGCCGGATAGTGCCTGATGGAACGGCAGTCCCCCCATCCGTGGTAGTACGAACGTTGAGGATGGTACCATCCCTCGGATCTCCTCTCAAACAAGTGATTTCTGCGGCTCCTGGGAGGAGACATCTCCACATCCGCTTCCAGTGTAGCTGGGGGCATAGGTGTGGGGGACCTAGACCTAGGTGGGGAATCCCGAATCTCCCCATCGGAGATCGGTTCCCTCGATGGAGCTGGGAGAAGCTTGGCCATGTGTCGAAGGGACCCCGGAGGGGTAACCCTCATAGCCGCCTGAAGCGCCGGGCCCAGTGGTGTCGGTACCACGACAGCTGTCAGGACCGAAGGGGCCGACAAACCCGAGTCTCGGTGCTTGGGGCGCTCAGGGTTCTTGGTCTTCCGAGGTGGCTCCCCGGTCTTATCCTTTTTAGCCTTCTTGTGGTCAGACAGCTTGTCGGAACCAGTGTGCTTCCGTTTTTCATGCTTCTTCTTAGGTGAGGAAGCAGGCCGATTGCCCATGGTAACTGCACCTTCATCCGAAGGGTGTGAGGGCGGAACCACAGAAGAAGAGGCCGGTTTTGGAGCAGATACTAGTGGGTCCAACTGGAGGAGTGCACAGTCCCACAGAAGTCTCTGGAGGCAGTTCTCACGGTTCTTCCTGGCCTGCTTGGAGAAAGCCAGACAGTGAGAACACTTATCCTTTCTATGCCCTTCCCCCAAGCAGAGAAGGCATAGGTCATGCGGGTCTGCAGGAGACATTTTAGACCCGCATTCCGCGCATTTGCGGAAAGCCACTCGTTGCACCATCATAGAAAAGGAAAAAAGAGAAGATAGTGCAGCGGGTAATAATATATTTTTGGGTTTTTTGGTTTGTTTTTTTTTAAGAAAGAAGTGAGTAAGAAAATGAAGAAGAACAAGAGAAATAACAACTACTGGAAAACGGGATAATACACTTGGAAAGAAGAAAAATCACAATAGTGAGAACGAGAAACGGTCAGAGCAAGAGCGAAAGTGGCATGAGGCACAACGAACGGCGGTCGCAAAGACTGAACAAAATGGTGGACGCTCTGCTCTATATAAGCTATAGGGGGGAGGGGGAGTGAAGCTTCCCGTCAAAACCGTTAGCTATCAATCTTCCGGCCAAAGGCACTGCGCAGGCACAGCACCCATGTGTGTGATGCACAGAGGCCACAACGAAGAACAGAGTGGGTTGGGCTGGTGGCCTCATGAAAGCTCACCCCAGCATGCTGTGCCCATTTCTGCTAATGAGCACAAAGGCACTTTGGATTTGTCCCCATCGCTGCTGCAGGCAGCAAATCCATTGGTGCTCTTGGAAGCAGCAGGAGCAATGGTTATTCTGGTGGCAGGAGTGTTACTTTGGCGTCTTCAGTGGCAGCCACCTCAACTGTTGCCATACCCACAGTGAAGAAGCCAAAGACGGAGCAGATGGCACATGGGAGGTTGTTACTTTTGGCCCCTCTTCCCTTCCCACCCAGTTACCCCATGCTCACTCTCAAAGGCCTGAAAGAAGGGCTCATGGTCGGCCTGGATCTGCTTGCTTTGGCCTCTTCACCAGGGGTAGGTGTCTTGTCCTGTGCTCACAAATGCCCAGTCTCTGTGTTACCTTCCTGAGAATTGTCAGTTCAGTCCAAGAGTGAAGACTGCATGGTTTGTGTGTGCATCCAAAGTTTTAAGCCAGGCAGGAGTGTCCAAATGAATGTCCAGTAAAAAGGTCAGAAATCTAGATACCGATTAGTTTTAATCAAGTTAAAGAATGCAGATGACAATGCTTGTTTGCCACAAAGAACAACGCTGGCTGAACTAATTTATAGCCAGCTAGAAATCAGCACAGCTGACTAATTAAGTCAGGGTGCTGTTTCACGGAAAACTTCCCATTCAGCCTATTTGTACTCATGTCAAAACCATGCACTCCTCCTTCTATCTAAGGGGTGCATTCCCTCTGTCTCTGATTCCCGCTCTTGTGGAATCCCAGAGGCTGCCCAAAAGGGACCTGGCTGCTCCTCTAGTGGAGGGCAGTCACCTGCAGCCACAACCCGTGTCTGACTATGGCTGGAGCTCACTATAATGGCTCTCTGAGGAATCTTCCTCCACGTAGGGAAGGGCATTAGAGCTGCAGCCAATGTGGCCAACGCCAAAGACACAGAGGAAATGCCAATGCCACCAAAATAGCCACCGTAACTCCAAGAGCACTGCCGGATTTGCCACCTGGAGCAGCAGCAGAGGTAGAATCATGAAAGTGCCATCACCAGGAGCTGGCGGGGCACACTGAGGCGAGCTCTCGCAAGGCTGCCAGCCTAAACAGGATAGGCCAGCATTCACAGGAGAATTCCCCACCATCATGCCCATGCGAGCAGGCTCCAAGCTGCAAAATAAAGAGCCACATGCAGCTCCCATGCCTTAGTTTGGCCACCCTTACTCTATGGCATGACCTATTATGGGGATAAAGTTATCAGATAATCTTGCTTGTACCAAATATAAATCCTGGATAACCATAAAGAGTGTAAAAAAGATTGAAATACACCTCACAGGTGTCAATTTGTTACAGTTCATTGGTCCTTTCTAAAATGGAACTAAAAAAAGACAAGATGTGCATTTATTTATTTCATTTTTATACAGTCCAATACCCAAGGCTGCCTAGTCACTTAAATGTTCGTACAACATTGTGCAACATTGTATCTTTTTCAGTGTTAGAACAAATCTATCATGAGATGGGATTGCTGGTCTTTAAGAATGATCTAGTCTTACATTTAAAAGAAATCCTCGTGAATTCCATTTAAAGAAGCCAGTATGCAAATAACTTTGAAGCTGCCTCAACATGCTTGCTTTTCCTACTAATGTTTATAAGTTTTTACTGAAATTACTAGCATATGCATTGAATATTGCAATAAGGCAAGTTTCCTTTTGTTTCAGGTTCCACACCTAATACGCTTCACATCCAATGAAGGAAGAATTGGTATCTAGTTACAAATGTAGTTCTTTAAGCAAAAAAAGGGTAGACATATCAGCATGTACCTTTTCAGAAATTGCCATCGTAAAAGGAAGAAGAAACAGGCATAGGTTTTTAGAGCGTTGCACAAGAATGAAAAGCCGTAGTCATCTAACAATTACAATCAAAAATTATCTTAATAAAATGAAGCTAAGAAATAAAAGCAAAGATTAAAGCTTGCAAAAGTTTGTTTCCCTGAATTTAAGAAAAAGAATTCTTATCTTGAACTCTATAATGTTTACTTCATTTAATGTAACAAATATTCTTCTTCTTCTGTAGAAAATCAGTGGAAGCAGCTCTGTCAAAGTGGTTCATTTTGGTCTAGTATAAACCAGAAATCTTACTCTTGAAAGAGAGCAAAGGCCTTTCACACCTGTCATGAGCCACGCAAGAACTTCTCAACTTCCTTGGAATCAGTCAGTTCTGAAATCATTTGCAAGTATTTCATTAGAAAATGTTAAGCACCAATTATTTCTATGGAAGAAAGTTAAGAAATGGGATTTAAATATACCCATCTTTGAACAAATCTGTCCATTATTTTTAAGCATGACCCAGTTCTGAAACCTATTCACACTATTCATAGGATTTCATCCTTGCTCCCCAGCACATTCCACAGGAAAGCACTGGCGCTTTCCTTTGATTAGTGGCATGTGGCCACTATCCACAGAGCCATTTCGCATTAGCATTACATATTAAGGATAGAACACCAATTCAGCTTCCAAATGGCACACATCTTTAAGGCCCTTTTAAATTCACTGAGGTTACACAACAATGCTTGTTAAAGCATACCTTAAAGAGGCTATAAAAATTTTGAGGTGTGTTTTATTGGCTAATGAATAAATCTGACCCTTGACTACATTTCAGTTGTTATTCATCATGTTCTTGTATTTCTTTCTATTTTTTATTTGCATGTTGGCTTTTCAGCAGTTTTTGGCTAAAGCAGACCACCTCTAAAAGACTACTATTTATAAGATAGAAGCATAAGAAATTAGTTTCCTTTTATGATCAGCATGGAGAAGGAGCAGAGCAAGACAACATCATTTGTCCTCTCACCCTCCCTCTCTCTCTCTCACACACGTGCATGCACATACAAAACCCTTTGGAAAAAATGGGCCTCAGCTTAGCTTTATTATAAAGAAGTCCCAATCAAGCAATCACATAGCCAAAGTGCTGAATATAATAAAAAGGCGACTTGCATGAGGAATCGTGGGACATGGATCCAGGAATGGTATCCTAAACATCTGTCAAGAGGGTGACATTATACATTTTAGCTAAAACTTTGTTCAATGTCCACAAAGCCTCTATTTTTTAAGGGGCTTTTATCATGCTTATCCTTTATCGACAAGCATGTTTGCTTATGTTAGAAAATACAATATGCAAAAGCTGTTTCACATACAAAACAGCCCTGTCCAGCAGTTACCTGCAGATTTATGAAGGCAACAAGCAAACAGGAAGTTCAAAGAGCAGGTGGGGATCCCAGAAAATGCATTATTTTTATTTTTATCTATTTTTTATTTAATTGGTTTGTATCTTTTGTGAGTCTCTCAAGACTCTGTTAGGGTAAATGAGTAGAAAAGACTCATGCCGAAATGAAAGTGGACTTCAGCTTCTCATCTTTACATGGCCTGGACGTTCATCAACTTCACCGTCTTCACAATCCTTAGGCCATAGCCACTGTGGCAGACCAGCAAAGGTGATGACATCATCAGAGGAACAGCACAAAGATATCCTGAAGAAGTAGACCATCCACAAATACTGAGGGATCCCTCTTTTGCTGCTTTACATCTTCAAGTAATACAAGCAAAAATGTAACACATAGGATTCTTTTAACTGCTGCAGGACCTAAACAGCTCAGAATTTTCTATTCTTCCCCATAGTGTATGATGGCAGATGTAAACGTCTACAGAAGGCTCTGTAATAGATACGGCAATCATATTCTAATAGATAATATCTTCACCCAGATTATGTTTGCAAAAGATCTAGCAGTCAGTACAATGTTTTGAAGAAAAAAATTCTCTCAATTTTCCACTCTACCCCATCAGTTTAGCTGAATAACCAACATTTTGCCTTTAACAAAATCTAAGCTTCTAAAGAATATTTTGCTTTTCCAGGGATTGACAGAAAAGGGACCTAAGAAAATATTGTCCTGTATTTGTCATACTTGTGTATGTGCACTGTCATATTAGGAATGGCTTTCCCCTGTATGATTTAATATATCTTTGTCCATGTAGACATTAATAATATTAAATTTATTCTTGGTCACCCAGTTTAAAAATCAAAATTAACTGAAGTTTTGTTATATCTTAAGTGCACTCTTACCAAATAAAAATGAAACTGATTTTAATATCTTGCTTTTTGCAGACTCCTTGTCAAATCTGCATTTGAGATGTTTGTTGTTTCAGCCTGGTTTTTTTAAAACCTTTTAAAAATTGTACAATACATGCCTGGTGGATGATGGGCTTAGTTGCAAGAAGGGGCAAAATAAAGCATAGAGACTTATCAGGAATAGTCAGATGACTGCATTAAATCCATGCTGAAAAGCTTATGTCCTCAGCAGACAAAAGTAGTAAAATGCGTAAGATTCCCAACACTCGGTGGTAGTGGTGATGGGGGAAATTTTCGTAATGCAAGAGCTATGAGACAGAGCCATCATTAAGCACAGAATATTCCTGCATATATAGCTTTGCATAAGACAAAATGGCTTATGTGCTTTCTCACAGTTATTTAAGAACATATGACTCATAAGATATTACATGTAAATGCACTTTCTGAGGTAACTCCAGTCCCACAACAGATCAGTGGAACCTTTTGCTTGCTCAACCTAAGGATGCAGAAATGTGTTCCTTAGCCATAGAGCTATTTTGCTGAATTGCAGCCATATTTCTGTCAGTGCAAGTGATGGTCTATATGAGGGATTAATCTGACACCAGACAGTGATCCTTAATCCTTTGGTATATCATAATCTATTTACTTTGCATGCTAAGAGGATTTTGGCTTTAAAATATACAGGAAGTGATGCTAGAAATGTACAGAAGATCAGGAATGCTGTTTCCTAAAATCTGTTTTTAATAAAACCCTTTTATGGATTTCTTGGAGTTCTGTCCTTTCAAAGTATTGAATAGGGATTTAGCTGGAAATGGGCATATGTTTCTTTTTCTTTAATACTGGAAGCCTACAACTGCGTTCCTCCATCCACTCCCCCACCCGTCTTTTTGTGTGTGTGTGCTGAATATAAGTCATGAAAAGAAAGAGTCTGCTATGTTTTCAGGGAGTTACACAGGACTAGTTTATTGACAAGATTAAAACAGATTCCAAGCTCCTGGGCATTTTATAAGTATCACTACCAAGCGTGTTTATGCTGTTGCTGCTGCTGTTTAAAAACCACTTATGAACCACCCTTTTTCAAAAACATTAATTTCAGGGCAGAATACATAAAAGGTCAATCCTCACTGCAAGAGTAATATAATAAAATTCATACCCCATCACAATAAAATTGCAGAAACAGTAAGCATGGCTATTCAGCCAGCTCAAAAATGATTTAAGATTCCTGACCAAATAACGTTTTGACCTAGTGCCACAAAGAATGCCTTGGGAGGACATTCTGTGTTGGGATGCCATCACAGAAACTTACCTATTTCTCACACAGGTGGAACTTAGAATAAGACCTTATCTTAAAATTTTACAGCAAATTCAAGTTGGCATGGAAGGAAACACTTTTTCAGGTATTTAGGACTTTAAAGGTAAGCACCTGCACCTTGAACTAGGCTCAGATGTGAATAAGAAGGTTGCAGTTTTTTCAGAACACATGCAACATGGATTCACCTAGACCAGGGGTCGGCAACCTTTAACACTCAAAGAGCCGTTTGGACCCATTTCTCACACAAAAGAAAACACTGGGAGCCAAAAAACCCTTTTGACATCTAAAATGAAGATAACACCACATATATCATTTTTTACCTTAACGCTCGCTCGCTCGCTCTCTATATATATAATCTTCATTATGATTTAGCTGCAGCTCTTGTTCAGTCACTAAAAACGGTTATTTTTAATCTTACATTATAAACTAGTAGGACTCCTTTCATATATTTTGAATAGGAGAACAGCTTCCTGCAGAGTCAAAGTCAGTGCTAAAGGGCTGCATGCATTAAACAGCAAACCCTATAAGTTTGTCAGCAGTAAAAGCAAATGAAACTACCCACTTATCATTAAACGTTACTTTTCTTTGATTTATCCATGGTTGGCCTGGGGGGGGGGTGAGTCACACATATAGGTGTGTTAAGTGACTGATTAGCAGATAAACAGTCAAGTGTTGTGAAATGTGACAGGTCCCAAGCACAGCTTTTTATCATTCAGAGGAAGGAGATTACATTTGGGCAAAGAGAATCTTTTCAGCAGCCTTTCGTGTAACATGAGAGCCTGCAGAAAGCTTGTTCCACTCTTTCCCTCCAATGTCGCAATTTACTTAACCTGCTAGCGCAGGGTTCCTGAGTGGAAGCCTCATCATCACCTATTGGTATTTTGTAACTCGGAGCCTCGGTCGCAGATGGGCGTCTGTGACATGTATTTTGGGTGACGGAGCCGCAGCAGGGGGATTCAAGAGCCACGTGTGGCTTCAGAGCCGCGGGTTGCCAACCCCTGACCTAGATAAACCAGTTAGAAATCTAGCAGCTGCATAAATGCAAGCTTCTGAATCATTTTCTGAGGAACTCCACATATAATGAATGGTAGCAATTCCACCTAGAATTTACAAGAGCATGCCCTGCAGAATGCGTTGGGGCAATAGCAAGGCTGTCATGAAGTTGCAAGCAGGCCCCTTCAAAGCAGCACTAGTGTGGATGTTAAAATCCTGTTTGATAAGTGTCCTATATTTTCCAGAATATCAGAGCCAGGTTAAACAGAGAGACTGTTTAAGTCTCTCTTTAAATGAAGGAATCTGTTGCTCCATAGAAACATAGCAAGGTGGCTATGGAGCAACAAAATTCTTCATTTGTCTTTGGTCCAATAGCAGCTACAAATGAAAAGTCTGCATTTGAGACAACTAATATAAGGAAATGTATGCCTTGTAGATGAAAGTAAAACCTCCTGCCCAGCTGTCTAGTCTATGATGCAGAGAGAAATTGATTAAACCTTTAATAACAGAACCTCATGGGAACAATTCTTCCACTCCAGTATCTCATTGTTTAAAGATGTTTCCTCTCATGTCACCAGAAATGTTTTTTGGCATAAAAATGCCAATTTTTAATGACTGCAATGCATATTCAAAAAAAGTGATCACTTGCTTGAGTGAAAATATTGTATAAATTGCACTTGCTTTCACTTCTTCTCAGATACTACTTTCCAGAAACTTCTACTTACCTCAGACTGGTTTTGTGAACCACTTTACCTCATACTTACCTCATATTCCTTTTCTAAATCTTACCGTTACCCCCTTCTTTCCCTCCCTTTCCCTCATTTCATCCCTCCTTCAAAAGAAAAGCCTTCTGATGTCTTTCTTACTTCAACTATACTCTTTTTTCTGGTTTTTCCTCCTCGGTGGCTCTCAAGGTGACATTCTGAAAGTGCTTTTGCTCCAACGTTGAAATACCATTTTCTAATGGACACTCTTTGTGTCTATTTTGGCTTGGTGAGGAACACTGAGTGGGCCCCTGCCAGGCTTTTACTAAGCAAGCCAGGAAGAACTGGGCAGGCCTCCTGAAGATCGAAATGTGGCCAGGTCTCCTGCTTCTCCATGTACATTATGATTCTGTTCTATATATTTTACCATCCTAAACAAAGATGGCAGCTTCCATCCAATCCTAGACCTATAAGGTATTATTTTACCCCAACAAAAAGTTGTGAATGATATCGCTAACAAAACATTATTCCATTGCTACACCAATGGAACTGGTTTGCAACAATAGATTTGAAGGATGCATATTTCCACATATCTATCCACCCAGACTACTGCCACTTCCTGAAATTCCAAATTAGTACCACACCCTATGAATTTTGAGTCCTGCCATTTGGACTCTCTACAGCTCCAAGAGTATCCACAAGTGCATGGCAGTAATTTGTGCCCATCTAAGATTTCAGGACATTCAACTCTTTCCCTACCTGGATGATTAGCTACTAATTACTCTGTCTCGGGAGTATCTTTTATGTTCTGTAGGAAAGACATGCAATCTACTGCATAAACTTGGATTCTGCATTAACAAGTTCCCTCCCAGTTCACCCTATACATTGAAGCCTGGACTCTGTCCTAGTGCATGCCTATCTTCCACCAAACTGCATGTGGAAGCTTTCCAAGTCAGCCCTCTTACTGCAGTCCAAATCAATGATGATGGTTCGGAGAGTACAAAAACCAGTTGGGTATATGGCCTCCACTGTAGTGATTCTCATCCCATGGAAAGGGACCCTCTTCTATCTGTTCTCTCCATCCCTGCTAATTACCAGAATACTTGCCAAAATCCAACTGGAGAAAACAATGCATTCTGATAACCCCAAGGTAGTCCAGACAAGCTTGGTTCACAGGTCTACTCCAACTGCCGAACCACACCTTTCTCCACCTACCAAACATTATCTCACAAAATCAGGGCAATATTCTGCATCCCAACATGAAAACACTCAAACTGATGGCCTGAAGGATCAGCTGGTGATGCAGCGCACTGGACTTGATTCACATATTTGATTCATACTGCAAGCAGCTCTCCAACCAAACACAAGGTGCTTATACTCAGCAGAATGGAATGCATTCAAGATCTATGCCCAATAAAACTAGCATATCAGCTTGCAGAACTGCAGCTCTCAGACTAATCAAAAGCACACTCAACAAGGGCTGTGCAGCATCCACAGCAGTGCATGCAGGTATCCACCTGTAAGACCTCTGTAAAGTGGCAACCTGGTCAACACTATGAACATCCATGAAGCACTACTGGCTCAATGTTTGTGCAAAACAGGACTGCCCCTTCAGCCGTGCAGTACTTTCTTCCATTCTCTGATGACACCTCCCACCACCATATTCAGCAATCACCCATTTGTGTGATACATCTCTAGGGGGAAGAGGGCGGAGCTCCCTCCAAAAATACGGTGCTTAGCTAGAATCTTCCCAAATATAGGCACTGTGCAGGTGCACAGCCCGTATGTCGGAATGCACAGATGACCACTTGAAGAACCAGCTACAGGTAAGCAACCTTACCTTCTGTGAACTCTACTCCTAGAATGGAAGATGTAAACAAAAAATGGAATACTACACTTATTCCAGTTAAGATTTTCTTAAGCTATCATGAGACTCTCTGTAATGAAGC